GATGATTTCTAATATAGACTATCACTCTACTTAGAATTTCAGAAGTTAAACATTTCTGTGGCTACAGGAATCTGCAAACTTAAGGCCAATGGAAATATGGCAATGTCATTGAAACACGTTGCTACATGTAGCATTACAGTTTTAATCACATTTACATCTAGGAGGACAATAAAATATACACTGAGTGATGTTTTAACTTGCATCCTTCATAATCTGGGCAAAACCCAGCACATTTATCACTTCAAAACCATTTGAAGATGGTTTTGTTTTGTGATTGCTTATTTCTATGGTTCTAATTCGGTAGCTATAATGGTGATGTGGAATGTTTGTGAAGCTGTATGAATCTAGTTAGGATATTACTTTCATGAATAATTTGGAATTTTGTATTTCTATAATTTTTGGCTGTAGTCTTTTATATTTCATTTTGCTTAGAGTCCATATTATGTGTCAAGTTCTGTTCCAGGCTCTGAAGAATAAACAATGAATAAAAACAGGGTTCTAGCCCTCAAGTGGTGGTAGGCTGGTCAGACAGACAATGACGCACCTAAAACCACCAGATATTACAAGTATATGATAGAAGCAAGTGGGGATATGGGAGTACCAATGAAAGAGTGACCTATTGTATTCTTTTTGAGACAGAGTCTTACTTTGTCACCTTTGGTAGAGTGCCATGGCGTCATAGCTCATAGAAACCTCCAACTTTTGAGGCACAATGCCTGGCTGTTTTTAGAGACGGGCTCTTGCTCTTGCTCTTGGTCAGGCTGGTCTCCAACTTGTGAGCTCAGGACAGTCCACCTGCCTTGGCCTAGGCTTACAGGTGTGAGCCACCATGCCTGGCCTGACCTATTGTATTTTGAAACAGAATGGGTAATGGGCAGCAAGAAACAAAAAGGAACCAGCAGGAAAAGGCTTTATGAAGGACTGCTTGAGCTGAAACTTTTTTTTTTTGGAGGCAAAAGTACCATGGCATCAACCTAGCTCACAGCAACCTCAAACTCCTGGGTTCCAGTGATCCTCCTGCCTCAGCCTCTCAAGTTGCAGTAACTGGGACTATAGGTACCCACTGCAATCCTGGCTAGTTTTTCTATTTTTTATAGAGATGGGGGTCTAACTTCTACTTGACTTGGTCTTGAACTCCTGAGCTCAAGCTCAAGCAGTCCTCCCACCTTGGCCTCCCCAGAGTGCTATTATTTAACAGGCCACTTTCACTATTTGAGCTGAATCTTGAAAATGAGCATTTGTAGGTTGAGGTAAAGATTTTCTGGAAACGAAGCAGCTATGGTAGGAGGCAAGATGATAGCCTGGGAAGCCCAGAGGTAGTTTGGTGTGGCCGGACGTAGGAGGCAAGCAAGAGGCCAGCCAGGGAGAAAACTGGAGAATCAGGTCAAGGAGCTTCAGTGTTGATACTGTGCAGAAATATTTTCAGGATAAGAAAAACTGCTGACGCAGTATCATTATTTTCTTTGATCCATTCTTTTAAAAAGCGCTTACAATCAGTAGATTCCGTAGATTTAGAATTGAGGTGTTCTGAACCATGGGAGTTTGTGTGAGATCATGGAGTTTTTTGTTGTTTTGTTTTTAAATGATGTAGGTCTTACTGTATTCTGTATTAATAGCTAAAACTAGCTTGCTGGCCCCTAATTTACAAATACCCTTCCTGAAGGGTCCCTCAGCTGCTTCTGCTTTGTTCCCCGCTTTAGTTCTGTCCCTCTTCCCCTTCTCACCACCGTACCCTCTGAGTCTTACTGTGTCTGATTGCCAGTGCTTCACAGACATCTTGAAGGAGTTTGAGGGCTTGGTGCCCGTAGCACAGTGGTTACAGAGCTGGCCACATGTACTGAGGCTGGCAGGTTCGAACCTGGCCAGGGCCTGCTAAACAACGACAGTTGCAACAAAAAAATAGCCAGACTTAGGTGCCTGTAGTTTCAGCTACTTGGGAGGCTGAGGCAAGAGAATCGCTTGAACCTAAGAGTTTGAGGTTGCTGTGAGCTGTGACGCCATTGCTCTCTACTGAGGGTGGCATAGTGAGACTCTGTCTCAGAAAAAAAAAAAGAAAGAAAGAATTTGAGAGTTTAGAATTAAAGGAAGATAAGAAGTTGGGAAAAAATACAATGGTTTGGTAGCTGATTTGCCATATTCACTTGCTTCTAAAGAGGCCATTCTGTTCTATTTCATAATCCTCTGTTTTTTGATTTATTTTTTTCCTACTCATTTAAAAAAATTCAAATCTTCAATGAATTAGGTATTCATTTGGGTTAAAATTAGCATATAATTCTAAGTAAGGTTACATGAAAGCTGAGCAGATGTTTGCTTTTTCTCTCTTTTCCATGGATTCTTCTTTCTCCTTCTTTTAAAAAATGTTGAAGTCAGGCTAGATGTGGTGGCTCACACCTATAATCCTAGTACTTGAGAGGCTGAGGCGGGTGGATTTGCTTGAGCTCAGGAGATAGAGACCGATCTAGGCAAAGGTTGAGACCCTGTCTCTACTAAAAATAAAATAGATAGCCAGGTGTTGTGGTGGGTGCTTGTAGTCCCAGCTACTCTGGAGGCTAAGGCAAGAGGATTGCTTGAGCCCAAGACTTTAAGGTTGCGGTGATTTATGATGACGCCATGACACTCAACCTAGGGCCACAGAGTGAAACTGTCTCAAAAAAAGATATGTCGGCTTGATGCCCATAGCTCAGTGGTTAGGCAGCTGGCCACATGCACGGGGGCTGGTAGGTTCCAATCTGGCCTGGGCCTGCTAAGCAAAAAAATAGCTAGGTGTCATGGTGGGCGCCTGTAGTCCCAGCTACTTGGGAAACTGAGGAAAGAGAATCGCTTGAGCCCAAGAGTTTGAGGTTGCTGTGAACTATGATGCCACTACACTCTATGGAGGGCGACAAAAAGAGACTTTGTCTCAAAAAAAAAAGAAAGAAAGAAAGAAAGAAAGAAAGAGACATGTTGAAGTCTCTCCCAGGGTAACAAAGCAAAACAATCCAAACCAACCTCCCCTTCCCCCCCAAGTCCTTGGTGCCTCTACGTTCATACCCAGGAGGTTTCTTCTCATCATTTACGTCATGGGCAGCCTGGCTTTTGTTGCAATTTGGCCTTGTTTCTACTTTCAGTTTAGTTCCAAAAGTATTTGTTAAATGCCCACGCATGGCTGGCCTTGTTCTCAGTGGAGTAGATAACAGTGAATAAGACAGTCATGTTATCTTTCTCCACGGAACCTATAGCTTCAGTGGTGAGAATAGTTCTTTCTGAGCTTCCTGAATACTTCAGTAGAGGTTGGCAGATCCAATAGATGGTTCTCTTCCTACTTGAAATCATTATCTGTTCTCTCTTCTGAGAGGATGAACACCTTTCTATGCTTCCACCATATCCTCCCTTGTGAGGACGCTTCTGCTTCTCTGAGCATACATCCCGAGTCTCAGCGATCTTCTTTCTCTTAAATGTTTTTTTTTTCCTAGACCTTTCAAGGTGTTTGTTTTCCAGAGTAGTTCTCTTCTGATTGCCCTTCTCGTCTTCTCTCATAAAATATTTCCTGGGCAATCTCTTCCTTTGCCTCTCAGATTCTTTACCTCTAGTGGAAGATTCTCTCCTGAGCTCCAGATCACGTAGCCACGATCACTACCTGTATGCCCTGAACATCTTGAACTCATCAGGTCTGATTCTAAAATCAACATTTCTCCCCACCTCAAAGCTGTAAAGCTTTCCTGTATTCTCTAAATTGCTCCATTATTTATTCAGTTGCTTGCTCCATCTTGGATCCTTTGCCCTCAGCCTATCAATTAGTAAATCCGATTGATTCTGTCCTGCCCTCTTTTTATCCACCCCTCCTTTCTCTTCTTGTCAGGTATTGTCCTCATTCCATCAATCTCTCTCTTAGGCATATTGTCCTCACTGCTTCCAGAATTCACCTGGTCCTGTGGTCCCTTAACTCCCGGGCACCTTAATTTACCTGAATTTATTTAGTTACGGAACTCATGTCCTAAACAGCTTTCGACTTCTGGCTTTTATGAGAACTTAAAAGATAACTGAAAGGATGTATTGATATTGAGTAATTCATAATATGGAATTATCATACATTTTACCCAATAGTATAACTTTGTATAAGAAAGGATATGTATAAAAAAAGGTAACAGGGCGGTGCCTGTGGCTCAGTGAGTAGGGCACTGGCCCCATATACCGAGGTTGGTGGGTTCAAACCCAGTCCCAACCAAACTGCAACAAAAAAATAGCCAGGCGTTGTGGTGGGCGCCTGTAGTCCCAGCTGCTTGGAAGGCTGAGGCAAGAGACGCACCTAAGCTCAAGAGCTTAGGGACACCCTAAGCATTCTACTGAGGGCGATAAAGAAAAAAAGAAAAAGATAACAGTACAAAGATCACTTGTTAAATTCCAAATGAGTAGTTTACATAATCCCCATAAGGATTTGGAAGAGTGAGAGATCATTAACGATAAAAGCCTGGAGTCACGTAAAGTTACTGTATAATAGACTTTGGAGACTCAGTGGAAAGGAGTGAGGGATTAGAAATTACTGTTGGTGCTTACTTCGGCAGCACAAAATTGGAGCTATAGTAAAATTGGACTGATACAGACAAGATTAGCATGGCCCCTGTGCAAGGTTGACATGCAAATTCATGAAGCATTCCGTATTTTTTTTTGGGGGGGGGTACAGTGTGTTGTTTCTATATACAGTTTGAAATACTTTCATCCAGCTGGTTAACATAGCCTTCATGTCATTTTCTTAGTTATTGTGTTAAGACATTTATATTCTACATTTAGAAAGACTCACATGTAACTCATAGGATAAACCATAGACGTGATCCCACCAATCGCCCTCCCTCTTTCCATCCTCCCCCTCCCCTCTGTATTTTTTAAAAAAGAAACTACCTTTTAGATGCAGTGTATACGGTGTGGGTCACAGGTACACTAAAAGCCCTGACTTTGCCTTTATACAACTCATTCATGTATCAAAAACTGCTTGTACCCTCTAAATCTATTGATAAAATTTTTTTTAAAAAAGATAAAAGAATAGTGACTCACACCTGCAATGCCAGCATTTTGGGAGGTCAACACGAGAGAATTATTTGAGGCCAGGAGTTTGAGACCAGCCTGGGCAACACAATGAGACTCTGTCCCTTCTAAAAAATAGAAAAATTAGCCGAGCATATTGGTAAGCACTTGTAGTCCAGTGACTCGTGAGACTGAGGCAGGAGGATTGCTTGAGCCCAGGAGTTTGAGGTTGCAGTGAGCTGTGATGATGCTGCTGTACTCCAGCCTGGGCAACAGAGCCAGACCCTGTTTCAAAAAAAAAAATAATTCAAAGTCTCACTATGTCACCCTTGGTAGAGTGCTGTGGCGTCACAGCTCACAGCAACCTCCAACTCTTGGGCTTAAATGATTCTCTTGCCCCAGTCTCCCAAGTAGCTGGGACTACAGGTGACCACCACAACATCTGGCTATTTTTTGGTTGCAGTTGTCATTGTTGTTTAGTTGGCCTGGGCCGGGTTCGAACCTGCCACCTTCAGTCTATTTGGCTGGTGCTGTAACCACTGTGCTATGGGCGCTGAGCCTCAAAATAATTTTTTTAAAAAGGATAAAGGCCTTAATGAATGGAAAGGAACAAAGGAAGTAAAAAGCAGATAAGGATTGGGGGAAGGTACGGGAGAAAAGGGAGGAAAAAATAATGTAAGGTAAATAATAAAAATACATGAAATTGGAGTTAGAGAAATTAGAAAAAAGTCAACAAGCTTTCTGTGGATGTTCTTACTGCATAATAGACAGTACATGGTTTGGTTGCCATAAAGTCTTTTGATTTCATGTTCTGTAATCCTTTAGTTTTACTTAATTCATTGACTGAACTGTTCCTAATCCTAGTTAAACATTTTGTAGTTGTCTTCCTTGATCAAATAAGTGATTGGGCAATAGATTGTATTTGTAAACAGAATAAACATATCCTTGAAATTAAAAAACAACAACAACAAAACCCCCTAGCATGGTAGCTGGGCGTTGTGGCTGGTGCCTGTGCTCCCAGCTACTTGGGAGGCTGAGGCAAGAGAATTACCTAAGCTCAGGAGTTGGAGGTTGCTGTGAGCTGTGTGACCCCATGGCACTCTACCAAGGGTGATAAAGTGAGACTCTGTCTCTACAAAAGAAAAACAAAAAGAACCCTAGCTTGGCTCAGCACCTATAGCTCAGTGGCTAGGGCGCCAGCCACATATACCAGAGCTGGCAGGTTTGAATCCAACCTGGGCCTGCCAAACAACAATGACAACTACAACCAAAAAATAGCTGGGCATTGCGGTGGGCACATGTAGTCCCAGCTACTTGGGAGGCTGAGGCAAGAGAAACACTTAAGTCCAAGAGTTTGAGGTTGCTCTGAGCTATGATGCCACGGCACTCTACCCAGGGCCACAGCTTGAGGCTCTGTCTCAACAAACAAACAAACAAAAAACCCCTCCACTTTAAAATACATGCCCTGCTTATTGTTATATTTGAATTATCTTTCTGTATCTTTCCAGGCAAGAAGAAGAGAACATGTGTAAATATTAGTTAAGGGTTTATTTTCATTATCAAGGTGAGAACTGATCGGTGATATGTTAAGAGGCAGAGTATATAGCACTTGGTGACTGAACACTGACCAATAAGGTTTTGAGGCTCGGCGCCTGTACCTTAGAAGCTAGGGCGCCAGCCACATGCACTGCAGGTGGCAGATTCGAACTTGGCCTGGGCCTGGCAAACAACAATGACAACTATAAGAACAAAATAGCTGGGCATTATGGCAGTGCCTGTAGTCCCAGCTACTTGGGAGGCTGAGGCAAGAGAATCACTTAAAACCCAGGAGTTTGAGGTTGCTGTGAGCTGTGACGACATGGCACTCTACCAACAGTGACATAGTGAAATGCTGTCTCAAAAAAAATTTTTTTGAGCCTATTTAATGATTAGGAAATACTGGAAATCATTGCAGGTGTAGTGGACGCTCTAGGAGGCAGAGGTGGGCAGATAAAATATCTTAGTCAGGAAGATGTAAACTTCTTATTGTAGATCTCCCTTGATTTCAGGTATCTCTCTGACCAAATATAAGGCAGAATGTAGAGTGCTGTGGAGAGAAAGAAACCAGATTGTTATAAAGTGGAAAAGAAAATAATTTTCATATAGTCATAGTATTAGTACAGAATCTTCTACAAGAGTGTTTTGAGCATTTTGATAAGGAAATGCTATAGCGTTTTCCATCTTAGCCTTCCTCTCTCTTAAGTTTTCTCTCTAGAGATTACAGGGAGTGGATTGCTTTGAAATTTTTACTTAAGTACCAAAACAACAACAGTAACAACTGCTGTTTGTCAGGAATTTATTCTTTGCCAGCCATACTACATAGATTTATTTCCTTTAGTGCTCATCACATTCTTGCAAATAGTGGTGGTCATAATGTGAGTAAAAGCTCTAATTTGTGAAATGCTTAATATGTTCCAAGCATTGTGTAATGCACTTAATCTACTTACATTCATGTATTCCTGTTTAGATGTTTGTGAGTAAACATCTTTATTCTTCCATGAGACTCACAAGGATTAAGCAATTTGCTTTATGTCATGCTGCTATTGTATCTATTTGCTTTGTTGTTTGAACGACATAAGCAAAATTTGCAATTTGCTTTATGTCATTCTGCTGTTGTATTGTATTGATTTGCTTTGAATTAATCCTGGAATAGAGGCAGATTATTATGGATGAAACCAGATGAGCCATGAGTTAAGTCAGGAATCAAACTCAGTCTCTGAATTCTAAAGTCTGTATTTTTTGCATTATGCCTCATGCCTCACTATCAGTTCTACTAGGTGGCAGTGGGAAACACTGACCTCCCTGGAGCTTATAGTAGTACCTCAGCAATGTCACTAAGTAAAATAAAGCAAAAAATTTAGAGCCACCGTGAACCGTGTGTGGGTTACTCTCTTTATAGGCCCCTTTTCAGAGTATGAGTGCCACCTGCTGGAGGGTTATATAATGCATCTCATGTGCTTGTAAAGATGAGCTTTCAAAAGCCCTGAGAAGGTATTTCAAGTGCCAATTCTCAAACTACCGTTTTAGTCTCACATTCAGAAATAAGTATTATTAATGCTGTAGTATATTTTCTGTTTTATAAACACCATTTTTATATTTTATAGTTTTCCTCTATTACATCATATTATAGCTTTATAATTTAAGTTTCTTCTCATCTGATCAAATACTTAATAGTATGTATATTTGAGACTTTAATATGTGGATATATCATAATTTACTTATCAGCTTTCTTACTACTGAACACTTAGATTGTTTAGGACTAAAAATCCTCTATTTTCCATAAAATACACTACTTCATTTACCTTCATTTCTGTAAGATGTGGGAGTAGGGGCATGATGCATCTTAAAAATCGTACTACTCAGTACTTTCTAGAATAAAATCATTGACACTGTTCTCAACAAGAGGAAAGACTGATGGTCAAATGAATTGTACATTTACTTACAGGAGATCAAACAAGAATAGAAAATTGGATTTACTTTGAGATGAGTGAGTTATTGAAGTATAAGAGAAATTTTCCATTTAAAATACCCTTGAAAAAGGAGTCAGGGACCCATGGGGCATCACCGACTTGGAGAACAGGAAGTGGGGAGTGAAAGGGGAAGAACGATGTGATGTGTGGATAAAAATACAAATGGCTTTTGGAATTTTAGCCTAATAGAAGGCTTCCCAAATTGAGTCAGGATCCTAAATAGTGCTTTAGAGAAAAATGTTTAGGATTCTAAGCTTAGATTATTATACGTTTAGGACAGTGAAAAGCAGGCACTTTTAATAATCACTTATGTGCCTTAAGGGAGATCATATGAAATATTGGCATGTTCATTGAATATTCTTCATTGAGGTGATGTTACTGTGCTGGCACAGAATCCTTTAGTGTGGGTCACGGGAAAATCGTGGTCGACTTAACGGCTCTTTATATATGATTAAAGCATATTTGTAGTTGCATGATGTCATGTTGAACAAATAGTTGCGAGACAAGAGATTAAACTCCTTAAATACAGTCATGACGGTCTCCTTTCCTTGGGTCCCTTCTTAAGTAACCACATGAAAAGCAGCTGAGATAATATAATAGTATCCTATTTTGGCAGGTAGATGTCTGAAAAGGGCTGTCTTTCAGTAGGTATATGTATATTTCTTTAAATTACACGAGTAATGCTCATTGTGGAAAACTTGTAAAATAGAAAAATAAAAAGAAAGAAATAAAAATCCCAAATAGTCAGGCAGTGCCTGTGGCTCAAAGGAGTAGGGCACCAGCTCCATATGCTGGAGGTGGTGGCTTCAAACCCAGCCCCGGCCAAAAACTGCAAAAAAAAAAAAAAGAAAGAAATATATATATATCTCCCAAATAGTCCCACTTTCAGAAATAAATATTATTGATACTTTAGTATATTTTCTGTTTTATAAACACTATTTCATATCTTAAAGCCTTCTATTACATAACAACATTATAGCTTTATAGTTTAAGTGTCTTTTCATCTGATCAAATACAGTATGTATATTCGAGACTTTAACATGTGGATATATTGTAATTTACCTATCAGCTTTCTTATTACTGAACACTTAGGTTGTTTACTGTTACTGATGATTTCTTCAGTAAATAGCAGAAA